TCAATGCATTATTTTCAGTACCTGGATGCCACCCCCTCGTTTCAGTATTCCCTTGAAGCAAAAGAGCTTCACAGATTTTTAATCTTGTGTTTCAGTCTATCATATGCATTCTGCATCAAAGGATATATTGCTGCTTTCACTCATTCATCCATTTGAGGGTCATCTCATCTTTGTCACATTGTATTTTCAGCAGTTCTTCTTTAATACAGTTAGCATGCTGAGGCTTTGCACATAGTAAGATCTAGATTAGAACAGTTGCCTAACTAATGAAGTATTGTGTAGTCCAAATGGTTTCAACCTTCCAACGTTTTGGGGAAAATGTAATGTATTATTATTTAATTTAAAATAAATGGTGGCTAATTATTATTGATTACACATTTTGTGTTGACACCTCAACTCAAAACAAAATACATGATAAAATGTTTTTGACTAGGCGTTACAATTGTGCGTTACAATTGTGTAAATAGAGGTTGATACCTAAATACCTAAATATTTTGGTTTCTAAAGTGATACCTAAATATTTTGGTTTCTAAAGTGAGCGTATCTTGGTCTTGATAGTGTCATTCAAAATAAATAATTAGTTCTTTTTTGCCAAAATGTACACATGATGACCAAAAATATTCAGTGGTTATATGAGCTGTCATTTTAGAAATGCTCACAGGAGATATACTGGGATGGATCAGGGCCTTCCTCCTCTTTTCTTTCTGGTCTGTCTTTTTTAAACTTTATGAAGCCTACCTGAGACTATCAGGAAAGCTTTTGGCTTGCTGATTCTGCTGTTGCCAGAGAGAACAGTAGGGAATGAATCAAAATATGCGCTGGTTGGAGGGGTGGGGGGCACAGCAGAAATTCTTTTCAGTTTTCTGTGCCCAAAACAAGCAGTTAGGCAAATTTAACTAACTGGGGTGAATCAGCTGAACAGCATGAATTAACAGTACTGAAATTAATACTTCCTATAGTTGTTAGGATAATGGGTAGTGGAAGGATCTAAGTGGATTGATGTCCTATAAGACACTCCAAACATCACCAAAAACAACTACCATTATTTTCTTGGTCTTTCAGCACTATAGGAACCAACTAACTAACTCTAAATATATTTTTCACAAAGTAATGACATCGAATAACTAATGCCACATTTGGTGGCAGCAAATTCCATCAATAAAATGCCCTGCCTCACTTACTGGACAGGGATGAGGTGGGTGCTCTTCTCTTTGCCACTTCTCTGGAGGCTCTTTCTTCCCAGGAGCCCTCTGTGCCCAATGCGTTTGGTGCACTTGCAACCTGCCGAGCCCCCTGATTAGCCAGGCCAAGCTTCAGTTTCAATCTGCCAGTAAACTTAAAAGGTAGGGCTGGATAGATCATTATCCAGTGCCTTCTCAGTTCCCTGTTCCCCTTTGTGGTATTTGGCATGGACACTGGATCCGGTTTTGCATAACTCTTCCCCCCATTTAGGAGAGGGGGAGCGTTCAGTGGCTTATTTAGGGGTTCAGTAGTACCTGTGTCCTGGCATGAAACTTGTCAGTAAATGGCTGCACCCCCTGGTGTGGTTAAGTGGCTTTGGTCAGCAGTAGGCTGTCCAATCCTTGGTCCAGGACCCATACATGGTGGCCAACCCTGTGTCATTTGTAACCAATAAACAAGTAGTGTCCTTTTGTTATCCTAACACCTTGCGTTTGTCTTCCTTCTGATTCTGTGGTGGGAAGAGGGTGGTTGCCCCTGTAATTTGGAAATATTGTTAAAGAATTAAATTCATACATTGGCCTTGCCTCAGCAACAAACATATTGCCCATGGGAGGTGAGGGGGGTTTAAAGATGGGACACAATAGGTTCCTCCCATGGGTTGAAATATTGACTAATCAAAGTAAATGAGGACTTTAAAAGCATTAACCAACAAAACAAAGGAAACTAGAGAAATAATAAACATATTGACTGGAATTAATTATCAGTTATGGATGAATAACATAGAGTTACACATCTGTAATTTTTTCATAGTTGTGGCCTTCACCTATTCATTTGTGTCTGCTACAAGTGTTTGGCACTATTGCAATGATGGCAAAAATCCCTCAAGGTTTGCTATACCAGGCAGCAGCCACTGTGAGAGATGGGGAATTCTTTTCCTGTTGATCAGGGCATAGTTTGCTGATGCTTTCACTCTGCCTGCCAGAGAAGGAATTTCAACAGGGATCTATATAGATTGTCATATAATGAACTCTGAAGAGTACCAGGTGGGTATGTCAGTATGCCATGCCATGATCAACAGGAGAATAGACATACACACACACATTGCTCACCATGGTTGCGGCCTAGTAAAGCAGAATGAGGGGGGCTATTAGTTAAGTAGCTGATCTAGGATCTCAGCCAATATGAAATACAATATGAAAAAATGGTTATTAGCAAAAGACAGAAATAGAAATACATTAAAAAGCATGATCCAAAACAAGACAGAGCAGCTGAATATTTATAAAAACTAATCCGAAACACTCACCTATTGATTGCATGATGCAATCATGCTTTATCTTGTTCATATTAACAAATGAGATGTGAACACATACCAACATTTAGATCTTAAAGAAGCACCTCAAGGTGCTGAACATATATGAAGGCTAGGATTCAGGACCATGGAGAACTCTTCTAACATTGAAACAAAAACCTAAAGATTTACTGTTCCAATAATATGAAAACCACCAGATGTCACTTCTTGAGGTGAACTATAGAGCAATGTTTTGGATTATTATTTCTAAACATTTAACTGCTTCAACCCAATAGAAATTTGTTTGAGATTTATGTTGGTTAAAGAACTTATTCTTCTTCAACTGATTTTTAAAAACACATTACATATGTGTTGCACTCCAGGCCAGGAAACCCTCTGACTTCAAACACCACACAGCTGAGTAAAATACAAGCAGTTTATTGAATATAATTAAAAGCAGTAGCAGTAAAAAGCAATCCACAGCAAAAGGTAAATATTATTTTTTTTTACTATTCCCCTTATTTTCCTTGTTTTCTTGGGGGACTCCAGATTGTACAGATATAAATGATGATAGAAGTATACCTGTCTACACAGACAGAGTTTCTTTTATCATACCTTTTCATTGTGGATGGGAGAAGGGCAGGTATTTGATTGTGAATATAGCGAAAAATGTGTTGAAGATAAAGAAGAGCAGATTAATTGATTCAGTCAATAGTTGAACATTTTGAGGCATGTATAAATGAATCAGTATGAATCAGTATCAGTGGATTTTTTAAACAGCTGCTCTTCAAGAAGAAAAAAGTGGATGAACTGATAACATGTTTGCAGAATTTCAGCTGCTTGTATTAAGGAGAAACAACTTATTACAGAAGCCATGTAGAGACTGACACATCACTATCTATACATAAATAATAATCCTGGTATGTGTATGGAGATAGCATGGGAAGGTATTTGGAATCTTCGGTACATCTGTCTTAGAGCCTTCAAAAATCTTGGGAACAAAGAAATACATTACCATCACTCAACTATATCTACTGTATGACTCAGACCATGAGACGATTCCTGTAGCTAAGGTGTGCTTACACTCAAAACAATGGGTGGGAGGAGAAGAAAGTGATACCTGGAAAGATTAAGTGTAGATTCCAAGTCGTAAAAAATGGGTTAAAACATACTAGAACCAGGAAAACATTACTGTTCACAGCTTAATTAGGAAGCTTTTCACAGATATTCCTATTAATGAGAGCTAATAGGGACAGTCAGTTTAGAACCAATTCTTGACTATCAAGTGATGCATCTGTCCACAGAACTCAGGATGACAACTTCTAGTAGTGGCCTGGTTGGCTCTTTGTCTATAATCCTTTGAAGTTGCAAGATGGTTAGCCCAGCCACCTTTCTAAAACTGATGAAAATGCAATGTTTCAGAGTCAGTCAACCTCAAGACAATTGGTCACAGAGTTTTCTCATGAGAAGAAGTCACAAAGCAATCTCCAGCCACATTACATTATCGAGCTGGAGAAATTGTAGTTTGCTGCTTCTTTGACTTCTTTCTGTAAACCAGGCATGGACTACTTCGCATACATTATTGTAGTGCTGTTCCATGATAACTGATCATTGTGTATTCTGACTACTGCTTCTGGGAAACTTTGTAATTTGTCTATACCAGAATTAAATTGCCTTGATTTAAAACTTGGAGAATGTATGAATGTTTGGGGTTGGGCTTGTTCCCACAATTTGGGGGGCAGGGGTTAGGGTTAGGATTTGGTTGTCAGTCACATATGGAAGACAACATTTTGTAGAAACTGAAAAAGAACAGTAAAACACTATATTTTTGCCTATTTTATAAAAAAGGAAATGAGAAAGTAAATATCAAAAACCAAGACTAAGCATTACTTCTGCCTTTTTAAAGTGGAGAGTAAATGCAAGATTTCTTTCAGAAGTTCTGTTTTTATAAGTAGACATCCATAAATCTCCATTATCTATCTTGTGATGTGCCCACTACCCCTCTGCAGGTTCATCACATGAGCCTCCTTTTCCTTTGGAGAATATGCAGTCTGAAATGAATGTCATGCTGCATTTAAGGGAAGATGTTTCAAGCACAAATATTTACAAGAGAAGAGCCAAAAACCCAAAACAAAACATCCACCTCCACACAGAAATGGCTTGCTTCTAGCAAAACAGCCAACAACCAATTTACTACATATAATACCACAAAGGGAATATAAAGGGAAAGGCATTTCACCACTACGCCAACACTGTATGTATCTACTATGTGATCTTTGGGACAGAGAAAAGCAGAAAAGTGCTTTCATAAAAGAAATCCACTAAAGCAGAATACCATTTGCCCAAAGAGCAGCACAAACAGTGAATGCACAATGAGAGGAAAGACACAGTTCAGCAGTACTCAGAAGTAATACTGTTGAACAGTGAATGGACAGATATTGGTATGAAACATACCAACATATGTTTACTGGAAAGAAAAAGAAAAATGAGAGTACCCAAGCATACTTTGGGGGTGTATGTGGATACTGACCTGGGCTTGAGACAGGACTAGTAGTAGTTGACTCAATAATTTCTACAAAAAGGGAAAAGGGGGAGGGGGAGAGAACATTTGGATATTAATCACATATGGAAGACAAAACAAAATAAAATATGTCTACAGTTATGGTCATGCAACAAATACTGATGATGCTAATTTGGGAGGTGAAAATTCTATAAATATCATGCAGTAAAGCAGGAATGGTGTTTATGAGTGACACACATAATCATCTCAGATTCTCAATTCATGCATCACTAAGATGCAGAAGTCAGAAAACAACACTCTGATTGACAAATTTCAACCAAACTTTGCCTTTGCTGACCTACCCTTGAAGGTCTCAAAGACAGTTGTCTGGTGGATTACTGAAATCAGCATACAAAACACAATTTAATATCCATGTTTCGCTGTGAATACATAAGTTATATCTACTCACACAGATAGTGTATTTATACAAAGCTATATCTACCCATATGAAACACATGCAAAATGTCTCTGAGTTTTTGCTGAGGAAAGTATTTCCAATAGACAAACATGGAGACAGCTCCCTCCTGGGACTAATCAAAGGAATGTTTAAATAAATGATATCAAGCATCATCAGACCAATCTGTAAAGTCACATTACAAACAATTTTAGATATTCATTTAAGGAGGCACAATAACTTTTTCATGACATATAATAATAATAATAATAATAATAATAATAATAATAATAATAACAATAACATTTCTTCCCTGCCTCTCCTCAGGGCTTGAGGCTGGTTAGAACATTGCTAAAACACATAATCAAAGCACATTAACAATTTTAAAATACTCCAATAATAATGATAAATCAACACATCCTATCAAAATTAATAGTAACAAATAAAGGATACACTAGTCATACTTTTAAAAAACTTAAATATATTTATTCTCAAACACATAAGGACGTATTGATTTAGTGAATTTTACTTTCAAGTAACTATTCATACAATTGTCATGTACTTTCATTCTCTCTCCTCATCCTCTGTCTCTCTCACTTTTTCCTGAATGATGTAGCAGACTCAGATCAACATCAAGTCAATATACAACCCAAAGAAAGAAATTTAAATGACCATGCCTTTGAAATGCGGCTGGAATTGAAATGATGAAAAGCATGTCAAAATTGTGCATCATTATACTTTGAGCACTTAATTTTTTTTGCAAAATACATTTTGAGGTCTCAAAAAGCCACCATCAAATTCTCCTAGAAATTAGTACAGTTTTAGAAATGGAAAATGATTTTGGATTGGCACTTCTCTGATAATTATGCTACTTGAAGACCTTGACCTGCAATGCAGTAACTTCACAATTCCTTTGAGAAGCTAAAATGCATGCCCTTTGAAAGGCTATTATTTCATATCATATGCTGTCAATCATATCCAAGGACTGGAGCTATGGTATTAATTCTCCCACCATTTTGCTCAGACAGCTCACAGTTGCTCTCATGCTGACTTTAAACGCCATAGCATTTCTTCAGATCAGAATTCAAGCAACAGTGTTATAGGGTGCAAGCAACTAAGAGGCATTTAATTTTGTCTCACACTTAACACATATTAGGCTTTTCTTGGGTTGTTAACCTATCTCTTACTACCAGTTAGAATTATGTATATTGTACATGCTGGTAGAAGGAAACAATTCTGTATTTCTGGAAAAAAAACATCTCTACAAATCAAGGCTTAAAATACCAGGAGTTCTGTTCCTTTCCTTGGACAAGAAATAGTGAAACTTTCCAATGGCTCAGTGTAGACAAACTTTGTTTTGTGCACAAAAGCATTAACAATATTATGTATAAAACTGCCTTCAGGCTATGCATATAAAACTTGAGTCCTATCACCATGATACCTCATTATGTATATGCAAATATCCCAAAACATGATAAAATATGAAATATGGATCACTTCTGGTCTGAAGTATTTTGGATAAGGGATAGTCAACCTGTACAAAACTCAAGCAAAGCAAAGCCGACCCTAAAACTCAAAGACTGTTATGACTAGGATTGCAGAACCTTACTAATCCTGGTACTGAGTAATCAGGTTCCATGGGTCATCTCCAGATGGGAGATATAGGTGCAAATTGCCCAGTTTTGTGGAGCTCATCTCCAGACAAGAGGGCTCTGTGGAAATTTTTAGTTCAGCTAGTAGTTGGGCAGCTTGCTACATTTGCAAGGATCCATTGATTTGTGGTTGCAACTTGAAAAGTCTCTACAGTGTGTCTATGTATTTAGCTTCCACCTTTCGTCTCATTTGTTGTGGCACCAAGGGTTACCCTCTGCTCTGCATCCATATTCTGGTTAGTTGCAAGTAGGACAGATTAAGTTGTTCCTTTCCCCATCTCCCTAAGAAGAAGTGAAAAGGAAAAATCTCCTTGTTTCAAAATGATCTGAGAAGAGGCTATGATCTATGATTTCCAGTATTCAAACAGGAAAATAAATTCCCACTCTCTGAATTACAAGCTGAAGATGACCGTGGTCAGTACTTAATGCATGCAATGTAGTAATATAAGCAGGGGCAGTTCCTAGGTCTCAGGTTTTAGCCTAGAAGATTTATTTCTGGTGCTTCAAAGCCCACTACAGGGAAGTGTTCTCCCAGGTTTAAAAAGTGATGATTGTATCTGCATTTTCCTATGTTCAATAGGGTCCTGGATCCTTAATCGCCATGAAAGTGGAGAGCCTACTGTATCTTCTACGGGGTCTTATGTTTCCACAGTGTAGTGACACATTGGAAGAATGAATGAAAATTCCATCTTCAGAGAACAAAAGATCAATATAAAGGAGAGTCAAGATAAAATTCAAGGAAACAAATGTTTTATAAGAAAAAAAAGTTTGCTACCAACCACCAAATGTAAAATTACCTGAGAAACAAAAACAGTTATATTGCCAGAAGTAACCCAAATAATCAGTATAATACAGAACTGTGACCAAGGGGTTTTTTTTTGGAAGCTCTATATGTTAATTACTGCTTTATTTTTATTTAATTTGATTTGGGTTTTTTCAAAGTCACCCCATCTTTCCACTCATCTATAGTCTCCTAGGAAGTGTGGTTATCTTTATTTCAAAAGCATTATTCAAGAATGATGACATGAATTATCTCTCTTGCTACTGCAAGCTAACACGATCCAGTTTTTGTGCAATTGAAGAAATTAATATGTCTCCTTCTGTCTCCTTCTGCCCCCCTCTCTCGCTCCTTGCCCCTGTATAGTTTCTTTATAAATGCTATAGGGTCTGTTTAATGTAAGGACTACATACATCAGAGTAAATAGCCAGCCTCTGCAAGGATCAACAGGGAAATTGCTTGTGTTTACCTGTAAATACAATATTTGAAAATAAGTATCTGACAATATACATAGGTGACTCATAGCTCACAGACTTTCAGGAATCCTTATTCTCGGTATTGAATTTCTATTTCTGATATGAATGTCTGGCAGCTCTTCTGAAATTTGTCATGTTTTCAGTACATCTGCATGAGTGTTTTAACTTTTTTTGCACTTAACCATCTTACATCTTGGGAAAGGAACACACATGCATAAGAACATTATACAAATTCATTCACAGTTCATTAAACAAAAAACAAGCCAACAATAAACATCCTCTACCCCCCCCCCCCCATCCTTTGCACCACTTACTCTAGATCAATGGTTCTCAACCTGGGGTCCCAGATGTTTTTGGCCTTCAGCTCCCAAAAATCCTAATAGCTGGTAAACTGGCTGGGATTTCTGGGAATTGTAGGCCAAAAACATCTTGGGACCCCAGGTTAAGAACCACTGCTTTAGAGTAAGATAGGCAGCAGCAATGACCCAAGGCATTGGCAGCAGCTCCAAGAGCCGAGGAGGATAGAGGTGGAGGGTAAAAGGCACGAGGGAAGAAGAGGAGGGGGGATGTAGGTGCCTTCCTTGCATGAGAGACAGAGAAGAAGGAGGAGGAGCAGCAGAAAGCAAGGACCCAAGGTGGCAGCTCCAAGACAAATCTGCCATTGCCTAAAATGATGCGAAGGGGTGGAGTTAAAGAAAAAGTGAGTAGGATTGGGCTGCATGTGTGTGTGGTGTGTGGAGCATCATTTGGCAGAAAGAATGGTGTCCTGCCCACCTTCCTCCTGCTGCTACTTCTGGAGAAGTTAGAAGGCAGGGCCAGCATGGGGAAAGAGGGAATGTTATTAAGGAGATTTTGTTTATAAAAAGGAAAAAAAAATCCTAAAAATTAGGGGATGACCCAAACTTTATAAAATTTGGTGGGCTAAGTGTGGTACAGTAGATGTGCCCTTCATGCGTGGCTATTTTCACCACTCTAACCCTAAAACTGAGGGGTAGGGGTGCCTGGGAAGGCTGTCCATTTTGGCCAATGGTCCAAAAAATGTTGTTCTTTCAGACCCGGAACAAAAAAGCGCATTCGGAAAAATGCCCATTTTTGGGAGAGGCATTAAAAAACAAAAACAGGGCCTTGTGAATGAAACAAACAGAAACGGATAGCGATTCTAGACAAATGTACAACACTACTATGCAGATATTTCAAATTGATTGCTCCTGTGATGTCATTAGATATAAGACCTTCTTGAAATATTTTTTACTATATTCAAATAATATTGCTGTGATTTATACAAAATATTTCTGGGGGGAAAAGGTATAATATATTATTACACACACATTCATGACATTGACTAATGAATGTATAACACAAGCTTAAGGAAACATACTCAAATTTGAGTGTAGTTTTACCAAAGGGTTCAAGGAATAACTACACTAGGAAAAAAACCCCCAAGTGATAACATTTTCCCTCTTCCAACATTAATGATTTAAATCTGACTTCCCATTGTATGACATCCACAAGCATTAGTTTTTCCTTCCCCTCCCCTGTAACTTTCAGAGGTAGGTAACTAGTGTGTACTGTCATTCCTTCCCAATTCCACAGATGTAAGCAGTTCCAGCAATGGAAAGACTGTGTTACATTCTTTGGACTTTGTTGTTGTTGTTGATTTATCTGTTTATCTTAAATCTTGTCATTAAGTGATGTAAACTAAATACAAAGTC